AGATGATGTTGATTATGGACTCTAAATTTAACTTGTTGTATTTTTTAAATTTAAGTTGTATTTTTTTTTAATTTTAGTTGTAGTTTTTAAATATAAGTCGTAGTTTTTAAATTTAAGTTGTTATAGTTTTTAAATGTAAATAATAAATTATGTTTGGCCCTATGACCCTTTGGTCATCGGTTGGAGATGGTTTTTTGTGACAGGACTATGTTTGGCCTTATAGCCTCGGTTGGAGATGGTAAGAAATATAGCCTTGCAATGTTCATTAAAATATTAATTTTTTGGAAGACTCATTAAAATATTAATTTTTTGGAAGACTAAAGGGCTAAAACGAGTCATTTGACCCTCATTCGGTTATAGATAGCTTTACCTTCCTTTCTTTCATACTTTTTTTTTGTCTTTATTCCTATATAAATAATTTAAAATAAAATTTTAACATAACTTTTTCGTAACTAGTTAAATAAATAAATACATAAAAGAGAGAAAATAGAGATTATATGAGAAAAGAATTATGCTCCTTTCACATGTCCAAGGTGTCCAACGATTGTTCTACATGAAACCTCTTTAAGGAGAGATTTTTCAATGTTTATAACACGTAGTGTATCATTTGTATTCGCGACACAACTAAAAATTTATCATCTTTAAAGCTGAATCAAGTTCCCAACGCAGCACAACAAACAAAGCCACTCTCACCACAGACCAAGGCAGTGGTGTACACTGCACGAGGTCAGATTTCAAATTTGAATGTGTGGCAGGTATTTTTACAAAGTAGAGCACAACTTGTTCGTTATAATTTCTAATAAAGTTCAATCTGTGATCACGTGTTCTTAAAATTGAGTACTTCAAAAAAATAATCAGTTACGAGTCGAAAAGTGGAACGAAATTTGAAATCCACCTAGAAGATTCACATGGCTACTCAGAACATTTTGATAATTTCATTACTACTAAAAATAAACATCAAATTTTGAGACGAGACGTGAAACCTTCCATATCAGATTTTTCTCTAAATTCACTCTATAAAACAAAACAAACCCCTCTTTCATGTATCGCTGATTAAACAAACTAGGCAACAAAGACTCCCCATGAAACAAATACCTATGGACTTCCACCTACCATCTCTTGTACCTTTTGTGGTAGCTTCATTAGCCTTTTCATTGTTCCTCTACTCTATATTTTTGAAGTCAAGAAAAGCAGTCAGAAAACTACCACCGCAAGCCGGAGGTGCGTGGCCGATAATCGGTCACCTACCCTTGTTAGTACGTTCGTCTGAGCCACTACATGTGGTGATAGCTCAATTGGCGGACACGTATGGACCGATCTTCACTTTCATGTTCGGAGTGAAGAGAACCCTAGTTTTGAGCAGCTCGGAAATGGCGAAAGAGTGCTTAAAGACCTACGACAAAGTGTTTGCTAGCCGTGTAAGCTCTTTAGCCTCAGAAATCTTGGGCTACAACTATGCCTTCTTTCCCTTCAGCTCTTACGGCTACTACTTTAGTCATGTACAGAAGATGGTCATGGCGGAGGTCTTATCCCCCCACCGCGTCGAGATGCTCAAACACTTAAGAGAATCCGAAGTGAGTGCATCGATGAAAGAAATATACGATCGGTGGACGAAGAACAACAAGAGTAGTGGTTCCGATAAGGTGGTGGTACCGATGAAAGACTGGTTTGCGGAAATAAACCAGAACGTGGTCTTTAGAATGATTATCGGGAAACGAATTTCAGAAGCTACAAATTACACCCATGGAGACTTGATAGGGAGAGAGGTATTCAAGGATTGGCTTCGACTGAATGCTACTTTTGTACTGTCGGATGCGCTTCCGTTCTTGAGGTGGTTGGATTTGGGTGGCCATGAGAAGACCATGAGGAAGGTAGCAAAGGAGGTAGATCAAGTGCTTCAAGGATGGTTAGAAGAGCATAAGCAGAAGAAAAAGAGGACTGTTTCTAATGGAGTGAAAGGTGATGAGGAGGAGCGTGACTTCATGGATTTGATGCTTTCAGTTCTTGATGATGCAAAAGTTACCAATTCTTTTGAAGCTGACATTATCAACAAAGCTACCTCACTGGTACGTATGTGCAGTTTAGCATTTAATTGTTTAAATTTTCATTTTTGCTTTCTTTTCTTACACATTCATCTTTATTTATTTATGACCATCAGATTGAATAAATGAGTAACGTTAAGAAGACATATTTATAACACATTAGTGTATATATCATCTTAATATCTTTATGTGTCAACTAATGCATATAACCAATATCCCATGAGATAAACTCATTAATTGACGTAGTATCATTTACAACATCAGATTGTATACAAATGTATCACAAAAAAGTAGTCTCCTCAGCATTTTCCTTACTGAATGCATCTAATAATTCTATCGCCCTTCATCGATAAGCATAGGGTTTCATTTATTAGAAAGTGTGTCTGCAAGTGTGTAAATTTTGTTTGTACAAATACTATTGTTGAATTTTACGTACTTCTCTTGCAGAGTCTTCTTCTAGCAGGTGTAGATGTGACGACAGGGACATTAACATGGGCACTGTCTCTACTTCTTAACAGCCCTAAAACTCTAAAAAAAGTCCAGGAAGAGATAGACCAAAATATTGGCAGAGAGAGGGCAGTAAAAGAATCGGACGTCGACAACTTAGTCTATCTCCAAGCCGTTATCAAAGAAACGCTCCGTTTATACCCTCCCGGACCAACCTTATTGCCCCATGCATCCAATGAAGATTGCGTTCTAGCCGGCTACCATATCCCAGCAAACACTCGCGTCCTCGTCAACGTATGGAAGATTCATCGAGACCCGAAGGTCTGGCCCGATCCAAATGAGTTTCGACCTGAACGATTCTTCACAACACACAGCTACATTGATATTAAAGGTCAGGATTTTGAGTTGATACCGTTTGGCAGTGGAAGAAGAATGTGCGCCGGAATAGCACTTGCCCTCAGGATTATGCCATTGACACTCGCTTCTTTGCTTCATGGATTTGAAATCGCAACTCCGACGGGTGAACCAGTTGACATGCGTGAGTCGATGGAATTTACCAACCATAGAACCTCCCAACTTGACGTCCTTCTCACTCCGCGCCTTCCTGCTCAAGTATACGAAGAGTATGGTAAATAAGGCAAATCTGCTTTGCTGGTATTTAGGGCACAGGTTACATGCAAGTGATGACTAGAGTATTCATAAACTCACGGGGGGCATCACTACGTTTTGCATTAATTTGGTCACCTCTGGAATTATGTTACTAAATCATGGTTAAGTATTTGTTTTAAGGGGATTTTAGATCTTAATAAATAAAAAAACCTTGTGCTACTGTTAGATCTAATTCAGGTGCTTTTCTTGATGACTAAGGTACACAAACTTTGGTTTTTGTTTTCTTATTATAACATGGATTTTTTTTTTTGTTTTGGTCCATAAATGTTCTAGTTTTTTTCTATGCCCATTTTATCCCTACATTGCCATAATTGGTGAATTTCCGAAATATAGTAAATGCGTTGGAGATTATTATTATTATTATTTTGGTGAATTTCCTTATCATTCATTTCTTTAACAAGTTCCTTCCAGATCAGATTTTTTTTTCGTTAAAAAGAATTTCATATTGAATATCTAGTCAAATTACAAGAAAATGACAATTATGGTAAATGCAAAAATAAACAAATATAATTCCTTTTTGCCATTTCATCCCTATCTCTTCCTTTAATGTGTTTGTACTAAGACCATCTCCAAACTTGGGCTAAAAGCCAAATTACCACCCAAATTACCCCCCCAAACACTCTCCAACCCATCTTAAAATTTTAGGCTAAATGCCAAATATTATTTATGGGCCAAATACCTCCCAGCTTTCCCCCCGGGCTAAATGCCAAATGTTTATCGAATTTAAATTTTTTTCGATTAAAATGTTCATAAAATTAATTTACAATAATCTACATATTTATTTATTTTTTTTTAAAATTGATTTAAGAAAAAAATTAGCCTAAGTTCATTCTTTAATAATTCCGGGCTAAAATTTTAGGGCAGAAGGGTTGGAGCAGAAAAGATGTTTCTGGGCTAAAAGCCAAATTTTCCGGGAGCCTAAGGGTTGGAGATGGTCTAATATGGATTGGAGAAATTTTTTTTTTTTTTTTTGTGAATTTCCTTATCATTCATTTCTTTAACAAGTTCCTTCCAGATCAGATTTTTTTTTCGTTAAAAAGAATTTCATACTGAATATCTAGTCAAATTACAAGAAAATGACAATTATGGTAAATGCAAAAATAAACATATATAATTCTTTTTTGCAATTTCATCCCTATCTCTTCCTTTAATGTGTTTGTACTATGGAATGGAGATATTTTTTTTTTTTGGTGAATTTCCTTATCATTCATTTCTTTAACAAGTTCCTTCCAGATCGGATTTTTTGTCTTTAGAAAGAATTTCATACTGAATATCTAGTCAAATTACAAGAAAATGACAATTATGGTAAATGCAAAAATGAACAAATATAATTCCTTTTTGCCATTTCATCCCTATCTCTTCCTTTAATGTGTTTGTACTAATATGGAATAAAACGCACAAGGAATTTACACCCTCCATTTACCATATATGTTTGGATACACTGAACCAGAATAATTAGAAAGTCTGTAACTTCTCCAAATTCACTATATAAAACAAAACAAAACCCCCATCCATATATCACTGACAAGACAAACAAGCTAGCTAAGGACTCCCCATCAAACAATCTCTATGGACTTCCACCTACCATCTCTTGTTCCTTTTGTGGTAGCATCATTGGCCTTTTCATTGTTCCTCTACTCTATAATTTTTAAGTCAAGAAAAGCAGTTAGAAAACTACCACCTCAAGCCAGAAGTGCGTGGCCGATAATTGGTCACCTACCCTTGTTAGTACGTTCGTCTGAGCCACTACATGTGGTGATAGCTCAATTGGCGGACACATACGGACCGATCTTCACTTTCATGTTCGGAGTGAAGAGAACCCTAGTTTTGAGCAGCTCGGAAATGGCGAAAGAGTGCTTAAAGACCTACGACAAAGTGTTTGCTAGCCGTGTAAGCTCTTTAGCCTCAGAAATCTTGGGCTACAACTATGCCTTCTTTCCTTTCAGCTCTTACGGCTACTACTTTAGTCATGTACAGAAGATGGTCATGGCGGAGGTCTTATCCCCCCACCGCGTCGAGATGCTCAAACACTTTAGAGAATCCGAAGTGAGTGCATCGATGAAAGAAATATACGATCGGTGGACGAAGAACAACAAGAGTAGTGGTTCCGATAAGGTGGTGGTACAGATGAAGGACTGGTTTGCGGACATAAACCAGAACGTGGTCTTTAGAATGATTATCGGGAAACGAATTTCAGAAGCTACAAATTACACGCATGGAGACTTGATAGGGAGTGATGTATTCAAGGATTGGCTTCGACTGAATGCTACTTTTGTACTGTCGGATGCGCTTCCGTTCTTGAGGTGGTTGGATTTGGGTGGCCATGAGAAGACCATGAGGAAGGTAGCAAAGGAGGTAGATCAAGTGCTTCAAGGATGGTTAGAAGAGCATAAGCAAAAGAAAAAGAGGACTGTTTCTAGTGGAGTGAAAGATGATGAGGAGGAGCGTGACTTCATGGATTTGATGCTTTCAGTTCTTGATGATGCTAAAGTTACCAATTCTTTTGAAGCTGACATTATCAACAAAGCTACCTCACTGGTACGTATGTGCAGTTTAGCATTTAATTGTTTAAATTTTCATTTTTGCTTTCTTTTCTTACACATTCATCTTTATTTATAGCCATCAGATTGAATAAATGAGTAATGTGAAGGAGACGTATTTATAACACATTAGTGTATATATCATCTTAATATCCTTATGTGTCAACTAATGCATACAACCAATATCCAATGAGATAAACTCATTAATTGACGTAATATGTACGCATCATTTACAACATCAGATTGTATACAAATGTATCATAAAAAAGTAGTCTCCTTAGCATTTTCCTTACTGAATGCATCTAATAATTCTATCGCCCTTCATCGATAAGCATAGGGTTCCATTTATTAGAAAGTGTGTCAGCAAATATGTAAATTTTGTTTGTACAAATGCTATGGTTGAATTTTACGTACTTCTCTTGCAGAGTCTTCTTCTAGCAGGTGTAGATGTGACAACAGGGACATTAACATGGGCACTGTCTCTACTTCTTAACAGCCCTAAAACTCTAAAAAAGGTCCAGGAAGAGATAGACCAAAATATTGGCAGAGAGAGGGCAGTAAAAGAATCAGACGTCGACAACTTAGTCTATCTCCAAGCCGTTATCAAAGAAACGCTCCGTTTATACCCTCCCGGACCAACCTTATTGCCCCATGCATCCAATGAAGATTGCGTTCTAGCCGGCTACCATATCCCAGCAAACACTCGCGTCCTCGTCAACGTATGGAAGATTCATCGAGACCCGAAGGTCTGGCCCGATCCAAATGAGTTTCGACCTGAACGATTCTTCACAACACACAGCGACATTGATGTTAAAGGTCAGGATTTTGAGTTGATACCGTTTGGCAGTGGAAGAAGAATGTGCGCCGGAATAGCACTTGCCCTCAGGATTATGCCATTGACACTCGCTTCTTTGCTTCATGGATTTGAAATCGCAACTCCGACGGGTGAGCCGGTTGACATGCGTGAGTCGATGGAATTTACCAACTATAGAACCTCCCAACTTGAAGTCCTTCTCACTCCGCGCCTTTCTGCTCAAGTATATGAAGAGTATGGTAAATAAAGAAAATCTGCTTTGCTGGTATTTAGGGCACAGGTTGCATGCAAGTGATGGTTAGAGTATTCATAAACTCACGGGGGGCATCACTACGTTTTTCATTAATTTAGTCACCTCTGGAATTATGTTACTAAATCATGTTTAAGTATTTGTTTTAAGGGGCTTCTAGATCTTAATAAATAAAAAACCTTGTGCTACTGTTAGATCTAATTCAGGTGCTTTTCTTGATGACTAAGGTACACAAACTTTGGTTTTTGTTTTCTTATTATAACATGGATTTTTTTTTTGTTTTGGTCCATATGAGAAAATATGCCCGCGCGTTGCTGCGGGACTTGAAAGTTTTAGTCGCAACAGGCATGAATAGTTTTCACACAAAACAACTAAAAAGACGTAGCACCTAAGAATCGATGAACAATTGGGACATCTTACTCATATGTGAGAGTCTCAATCCCTATTTCAAATCCCTATTGGACAAAAGTCCTATTTCTTCTTCAAATTGAATCGGCATCATTGATCAAGCAATTAAACATTCCTAACGGCAAATAATTGACCCAAGAGTTGAGTAGATATATAAGGATTGGAAAAAGAGGACGCAATTAAACTATATAATTTAACAAAAGTAAAGGTCAACACAACTCTTCGAATTAAACTATATATCTAATTTACGAGAAAACTTTGTAAAATTGATAGTTTACCTGATATAAGCACTTAATTTTCCTTTTTAAAACACTTTACCCATTCTTGATAAGTAAAATATAGCTTAAGCTTAATTTATTAATAGCTTAACGCAGTTCAAAAGTATTTTTTGTTGTGGTGAGAAGGAGAAGCTACAGCCAACCCACCTTAACTTTTAACTTTTTCCAGATGCATATGTATAGTTTACCTGTACCCCCATACCATGTGTCTTGAGCTATTATCTATCCTTCACTTGTAGCATTTTCGCTCTTCTGCACGGAATCTTGACAGCAAACGATTTCATTTATTACCGTTTAATGGAGATGTCTTCTGCACGACTAGATTACAAAGGGAGAGAAAAACATTATTAGAAAAACACATTATACTCAAAATCATCACTAAAGATATTTTCAAACAAATCACAATACATTACACAAAGTGGATCCAACTCCAAGGCAAGACTAAGCAAACACACAAACTGTATAAAAACCCAATAAAAGTATATGTCACGCCCTGATCCCGACATACGTCCAGGATCGACATGTGACGTCACTAAAAACCCGTATCTCTAACATACCCCGCCTCCGGGAAAAGGCAAAACATAACTTAAGATCCAATTACGCAATAATTCTTCGTAGACTTTATGGCTGCATCTAACATCCTCGTTAGACTGTCTACGTACCCTAAATAGGGATGAAACCATTCGTAATTCCTTATTCACTACACTCGAACATTCATCACATAAATCGTTATGTCCTAACAATATACCACAATGCATATCATGCAATATTTCAAAGAACAAATGACGAAGCACAATCATACTCTCTAGCCATATTTATCAACAAGTCTAATCATAACAATAACAATGATATTTCCACTTCATCCATCACATAAATCATCATGTTTCCCACATAAAATCACAATTCATAGCATGTAGCATATTAAAGAATTAACAATGCACAATATTATTCTCTAAAAACATTGATCAACTAAAATAATCATAATAACAACACTCATATCCAGCGTCATTCCACAATCCCGTCAATTAATCAATTCATGAATCAAAGATGCACGATCTTAGCATTTAATTACATTAATCAATCAGTGCGATAACATATCATTTCAGGAATTTAACCAAGGAACTCTATATAATTTCCCACTTGGATTATGAATAATAACATGGTAATTCTAATTTGTATTCACAAGATCTTTTGTGGGTAATTCCCATTCACTCGAATTTAGGATTCTAAGATAACTTTACGGAAATGAACAAGAGCAAGGATTTCGGACCACTCAACAGAATCTAACAACATCGGGTTTTGGACCACTTAACGGAACCAAAATATCAAGCAGTTTCTCGTAATCTACCCAGACTTATCACATGTAAAGTCAGTGCCTACATTATGGGAATGGTACATTGGCAAATCAGGCACTCAGATAAGCTGCAAGGCTCAGGTAAGTGACAATAATACAAGTATGTGATATTCAATAAAAACAGACCATCGATCACAATCTATAAACATCAAGTATAGAATCATACTTTATGAAATCATAATCAAGTCGCTGAAAACTCCGAAGGAGTCACCTAGACATCCAACGACTTTTCTAATTCAAACCACAAGATTGTCAAAATCCACCATTCATATGTACATTAAAAACTAGGGCTAGAGGGACGCAGTTCGGCCGAAGCCTACATAAGTAACCAAACACGAAGTGCACTCCCTAAAGCGGATTAACCAAGCAGAGTCACTCCTACACTTGTTAGGAAGTGATCACCCAATGCGGATTAACCAAGCATGATCACTCCTAAGCATACATGGCCATAAGGATCGCCCAACGCGGATTAACTAAGTGCGATCCACATATAGTATGGTCCCCCAATGCGGATTAACCAAGTAGGACCACTAGTCACCCCCTAATGCGGATTAACCAAGCAGGGTCAAGATAATCAGGTAGGTAGTGACCCCCTAAAGTGGATTAACCAAGCAGAGTCACACCTACAGAACTGTTAGGCAGTGATCATCCAATGCGGATTAACCAAGCATGATCACCCCTAAGTATAAATGGTCATAAGAATCGCCCAGCGCGGATTAACCAAGCACGATCCACATATAGTATGGTCCCCCAATGTGGATTAATCAAGCAGAACCATTCATGTACCACTGCTACATGGTGCAGGAAATTCAACTCACAACCTACCTACAACTCAACCCCTATGGGTTACAACGTAGACGCTACACCATCAACTTTTCATGGCCACCAACTAATACATCACACAATCTTATAAATTCTACAAAATACTTCTAATAGGATTCTAAGATCACATAGTCATAGCATTTATCATACTTATCATTCACATTGCTAAAAAGAGATAATTAAACACACATATATCACAACCATCATCAGTACACAAGCCAAATCATGTTTCATATACATAAAAGTCACATTTAAATAGAAATCACACTTATAAAACCAATTCATATTCACAACGGATACTAATATAAAAATTTAATTTAATAAACCTACCCCATATATTTAAGTCACTCTTTAACCAATGTGGGTCCACTAGACTTCACTTAGTCTCATGTAGTACCAATTTTAGTATCCAGAACGTTTTGGAACATGTTGACCCAAAAGTCAACTCTTGATCAACGGTAGGGTTCGCAACTCCACATAATTTGATCCGAAAGATCTGCCCATCGAATTTTAGATCCGTAACTTCTTAGGGTCCTCATTATTCTCATAGAACAACATACTAAATTCTTATCGAGATCCGATGGTCGGATCTCTGCCAATTATTAGAATTAGGTGGCGGTCAACAATTTATTTTACAAACTTAGAAATCCAATTCGGGAAGATCCGTACGTCGGATTCCCGATCCGTTAGTTCTTAATATCCTCAAATATTACGTATTATAATGTATTAAAGTTTGGTGACGATCCAACGGTCGGATCATCGAGTCATATTTTGATCAAGTAATGTCTCAGTGAGTGGCGGTTCCTGGAGAACGAATATTAAATACAAAATCTGGACATCTAATTGAACTTAGAAAGGCATCGTCAGCCCACTAGCCACGCGCCACAGCGAGTGGCGGTTCCTAGTGAACGTAAACCCAATTTTCCGACTAACTCCAAAAATTACCAAATTTCACAGAAATGTATATATCAATGAGTAGAGCAAGTTTCATATATGTGGCCAAGTCCAATTTTTCTGGGAAAAGCCCCAAATTTGCTCAAACCTACTGAAAACCCTAAGATGGGTGCTCTTCGATTCAACTTCCTCGATGTTCAAACGCCTCTACAATTGATTGGGTCTTGTTCCTGGGTCCAAGGAGAGTTGATTCAGTGTGGTGGTGGGTGGTGAAACTCGCTGGAATGGCGGAATCACCGTCAAATCTCCATGGGTCACCCGTACGGTTTTACACAATTTTGGACTTAAATACCCTCAAATTTGGGCGGAGATGGAAGATGGGAAATCACTAAGTGTATTGCAGGTGTCGGATGATGGTGATTCAATGAAAAAAATGGTGAAATTCGTCGGAATTAAACCAGGTTGATGGTGGTGCACGGGTCGATAATCCAGTGGGGGATTTCCTTTCCTCATTGGTTGATCCTTTTATTTTTTATTTTTTATTTATTCTGATTGGTCCCTCACTCTCTTATCTCATTGGTCCCTTTCCCACAAGGTGGGAGTTTTAAAATAAATTTAAAATCTATAATTTAGTAACGACTTCAAATGTCCGTAACTATACCGTTAAAACCCGTGACATACAAACAATAGATGTTGCAATAAAAATAGACTTTATTAAGAAATAAAGATAATCATTCAAACATCATTTATTCTCCAAATACAAGAGACTAAAAGAAACTCTCACTAAGATACTCTCCTAGCTAAAACTCTCAATAAACTGAAAAAACTCTCCTAGCTAAAATCTCTCCCCCTAGCTAAAGTCTCTCCCCTTTTTTGTCATAGGAAAAGCCAAAGAAGTCATAGAATCAACTGAAAATATGACTTTAACCCCGAAAGCTGAATTTTCTCCATATAAAACCTGACATAAGTTTTTTACTCTAATAAAACCCATTGACTAGATTCCACATCAGCAAATTCATTAATTATATTAGACTTTACACATTTAAAATTTTTTGATGCCTAAAATACCCATATTTGAATGTTTGATGTACACCATTAATTCTATACGGATTGTAAGGAAGATTTAATGATTTTACAAAAATAAAAAAATAATAAATTTATTTCCTAATATATAATAACAATAAAACATGCCTACTATATGTAATAATACATGCTTAGTTTAGTCAATCAAATTATATTTTACAAATAAATGTAGGTAAATTAT